TATTAAAACTTTAACTAAAATAAAGTACAAAAAGAATGTTTCTTCAGGTTAACAAAGACAGAAGATAAAAGTAAAAATGCAAGCTTACTCTTTACTGGAAATAATTGATTCTCCTCTTAAACTCCTGTAAAATTCTGACCTCAACCAATACAAATGGCAATTCATTTTACAAGTCAGTCACCCTGTTAGAAAAATAAAATTTTTTTAATTGGATGCTAGCCAGTATTCATCAAAACTTTAGCTTGTGTCCTCTCATCATCATATCTTCTAAATACGGCACAAAGAAATCAGAGGCCTTTATCTTTTCATTCCGTGATAATCTTATACATTGTAATAAGACCACCATGTGACTGTAATGTTTCAAGATTGTATGAATTAAAAATCTATCCCTGTAAAATAACACTTCTGGTGCTGGAATCATCTTACTAGCCCTCCTCTGAATCTTCTTCAGTGAGTATGTCGTTTCTGTGATGAGGAGACCAGAACTGTACACCCTATTCCAAGTGAGGCCTAACCAGAGATGTTTATATTATAAACACATACCAAAATACTGTTAACTTCATGCTAGCAACAGAACACTGCTTTGATAGCTTGAGTGAATTATCCACCATTCTGTCAAAATTCTTTATTTCATTCACACTGCTGGGTTGGTTTCCATCTATATTAAATGTGATCCAAATAACCAAATGAATTACCTTACATTTGCTGTGATTAAAAGTTATTTCGTAAACATCAAGGATTTTTCTAAGTATACTAATACTAAAGGCAGTTCAGGAATAAAACTTACCAAAAGTGCCAGTACTTGTATGTCTGTGTGTAATGTATAATATAGTTTACTAAAAGAAATATACAACCACTGTTTTGTTGATTAACAACAAGTATCTGTTAAACAGGCAATAATTACATAATTGTAAACTTAAATGTTTATTTTTTGCTTCCCATTCTGTTGAATGATAAAAATACCTTATACACACTAATATTAGGGATGGGTACCGATCAAAATGCACTAGCCAATAAAATGCATCATTTCGGTATATTTATCATTATTGAACAATCATACAGCTAGATGATGCTGTCTGATTGGTTTAGCTAAATGTTCTATACTCTTCTGTTTTTACATGAGAGCATTCCTAATTCTGTATAGAGAAAATTGGAATTAAGAAGTTAGTAAAAACATTGGGACATTTTAAGATAGAACACAAGGATCTGAAGGTGTTTAAAGGAGGTCAAAGATTGGAATTGTGAGCCTTAATTTTTGCTGTGTTATTGGAGGGTTGCTAATGTTTTTAAAGAGGTTAACAAGAGTTGCCCTATAAATTAATTATAGGCCAGTTATTCGTACTTATGTACTGGGAAAAGTTCCTGAGGAAATATTTTAAAAATCATTTAATAAAATAACCATAAAATACATGGATTTACTGATTGAAAATCTTGCTTAATTAATCTGTCAACGTTTTGTAGTGGATGACAGAAAAGGTGTGTCGACTTGGTGTGCTAAGATTACAAAAACCTTTGATAATGTGCCACATAAAAGATTAGGTACATGGCTTATGTTAATAAATA